CCCCCGCCGGACCCCCGCTCCTCCCAGAATCCCCGGCCGCGGCCCCCGCCCGCCCCCCTCGCGGCCCCATTGTTCCCGGCGGCGGCGTCCCGGGCCCTCCAGGCCACCCCCCTGCGGGAACCCAGGCGGCCCCGACTCACGGGCTCTGGGGGCTGGGAAAAGCCGGAAAGCAGGGTGCAGCCCCGGGGCCTTAACCCCTTGAGTGCCCTGCGTCAGGGGGTGGGCTGGGCGCCTAGGACTCCGGGGTCCGTCTCAAGGGGTGATTCCAGGCTGAGGACCCGGGGACCAGTTCAGGGTGACTGGGACGGAGCAGGAAGTGACCCCAGCTTCCCGGGCCCCTCTAGCCTGGAGTCAGAGCATCAGCTCTATGGGATTTAACCCTCTGCCTCCCACGGCCTGGGGAAAAAAAGGGGGCGGACGGCCGGAGCAGGGAGGTGGCTGAGACGACGCCCCCTTCTGTCTCCGGTGTGCGCTGGGCAGAGCCCTTGTTGCGGAGCCCAAGGCCACTGAGGGTCTCCGGATTTCTGGCTGTTCGCTGTCTGCAGAGGCTCCGCCAGCCTCCGCAGCGAACCCCTCTCTCAGATCTGGCCGCTGCTGGTCCCCTGGGGCCCGGCCTGCGTGGGGATTCACCCTGGGATGGGGCTGGGGTGCCTGGGTTCTACCTGGAGGGGGCTGAGGCCAGCAGGGAGAGCGAGAGGCAGCCTCGGAGCAGCCCTAAAGGGACCCAAGGGAAGGAAGTCCGGGCGACAGGAGCTGGGGCCCTGGGCCAGGAAGGACTCCGCGCTCACCTTAGAGGAGGAAACTGAGGCCCGTGGGGGAGGAGAGAAGCCAGTGGGTTCCCCGGGTTCGCAGCCTGGATGTCATTTTCCCTTCACCGTGGCCTGCTGAGGCAGGACTGCGTGTCATCCCTATTGTACTGGCGAGGAAACCGAGGTGTGAGTAGCCGGGCGCTGTGCTGAAGGCAACATTCTTCCGTGAAGATAGGGTGGGGAGGCCTGAGAGTTGGATAAGAGTGTGTGTGTGTGTGTGTGTGTGTGTGTGTGTG